AAATGATGTTTAAAAGTAACGGTGAACAGGGGCATCTGGGTGGCTCAGGTGGTTGAACATCTGCCTTTGGCTCAGGTCTTGGTCCTTGGGTCCTGGGATCAAGTCTCATGCCAGGCTCCCCAGGGGAAGCCTGCTTCTCCTCTGCCTATGTCTCTGCCTCTCTCTCTGTGTCTCTCATGAATAAATAAATAAAATCTTTAAAAAAATAAAAGTAATGATGAACATAGATATCCTTGCCTTTAACTGCTTAAAATATTAAATATTCTAGAGTCTCAACATTGAGTTTGATGTTGGCTATAGGTTTAAACCAGGTAGTCTTTATAATACTGAAATCTTGATAATACTGTTTTTTGGCATTGTTTTTATTTCCATCCCACTGAGGAAAAGGAATTTTAAAGAGGTAACATGAGCTACCCAAAGTCATATAGCCAGTACATGGGGCCTGAATGCATGCCCGAGTTGTCTGGTTACATTTTCCTTTTCCGTTGCAACAATGCTACCACTCTATAATATAGTCAGTCTTCAGCCATTTGTTTTTTGTGGTTTTTTTTTAAGATTTTATTTATGTGAAAGAGAGAGAGCACTAGCTGGGGGGAGGGACATACAGAGAGGGAGAAGCAGGCTCCCCACAGGGCAGAGAGCCCAATGTGGGACTCAATCCCAGGACCCTGGGATCATGACCTGGGCTGAAGGCAGATGCTTCACCAACTGAGCCACCAAGGCACACCCCAATCATTTGTTTTGTTCCAAGTTTAGCCATAAAAATTAATTTAGATCTTATAAAACATCTTCTTACAAAAGCAACGTAAGAAAGAATGGCTAATTTCTCAGCTGATCTGAAGAAATGTACATCATCAGTTATTACTGTAGAAATACTTCAATATTCATCAGTGTTTGTCTGAGAAAGAGAATTCAGTAGGAGATACCAGAGACATGGCTGTGACTCCTCCCCAGTTATGCTCTATGTGGAGAGAACAAAGAACTTCCATTGCTTTCAGTCACTGAGGGTAGAAAAGGACAGGACTTTGAAGTAAAATAGAAACTCTTGAAGAAAGAAGATTGGGAGTTAGCAGATCAGATGGTGGTGGTGATAGAAAGCAGGGCAAAAGGACAGAGCCGGAGTAAAAGGTTTAAGTAGTACCTCCTGACCTCTTCCTCTTCCTTATATCCCTGAATGAGCCTGTTAGAGTAAATGCCAAATAGAAAGGAGATTTGACTCACCTGCTTTTCTTTTCAGCCAGACTCTGAAGTTTTCCCTCCCTCTGACCCATGGCATTTCAGAAAGGCAAGTCTTCCTTCCATTGGCCTGATGCCAAATAAATATATGTCTTTCTGCTCTAGGATAGTTTAACTTTGGCAATTGCTGGAAAATTGACAGGAAATTTTAAAATGAAGATAAGGAGAAAGTTGCAGTTTCAAAAAATCTCAAAGTTGACCTTAGTTTTTCCTAGAAGGCAATGATCCAGACCACACTCTGTCTCTGCAGTAGTTCTACCCTCTTCTATGAGAGCTCCTTCATGGGCCAGATTTCTCCTTTTCCTAACAGGAACCCCAGATACTCTCTGTACTTGGAAACCTCTCTGTACTTGGAAACATACTGATCCTATCATCTTTCCCTATTACCACCCCACAAGAGGTCTGAGAATCTTGCTAAGGCCTCATCTGCCAAACAAAGGCTTAACAAAACCTATCCACACCTTTTGGCACATAGTAATAACTGTATAAGGATTAACTCTTTATTATTTTAAGTAGGCTCCACATTCAGCATGGAACCCATTGTAGGGCTTGAACTCATGACCTGTATGCTTCACTAGAACCTCTGCTCACCTTTAATCCAGCCCCCAACCCAAGCTTCTCCCCTCTGTTCTCATTCTACCAACCAGGTCAAAATCATACGCTGTAAGGAAAAGTGATAAAATTAGAGTAAATTAAATTAAATTAAATTAAATTAATAATGGTTTAAATGTAATAGATCTAAATTTGTAGAATAGAGAATAAATAAAAAATATCCCTTCTGCTTTTCTCTTCACATAGCCCAAGGCATGTATCCACAGTTCCATACAGAAATAAAAACATTTAGTTCTTGACATTGTCTTGTCTTGACATTAACAAAAATAGCACGATCATATACATGTCCAGAAATTTTACCCAGTCTATTACTGAGCCTACAAAACAATCCTGTGAGAACATCAGGGTAGAGATTATCATTCTTGTTTTGTAAAAGAGGAACCTAATGAGCAAAGAAACAAGTGAATTACCCCGAGTTATATTTTCATAGGTGGCAGCAACAAGACTCAAACCCAGGACTTCTGTTGTCAAATCCAAAATTCCCCTTCTTCCTGAAACTGACTCCTACAGTCTCTAGAACCATTGGTTACTAACTGTTATCATTTCTATTAAGGCCACAGAGGCCATCATGATTCATTTCCCAGCAACCGTTCTCCGACAGACTATTCTGAAGTTCAGGGTAAACACTTTGAGACTGTCCTACACAACTTTTATTTGTTCCTTGACTCAATAACCAGGAAAATATACATCAAATCATATCTGAGTTTATAAAGGCAGGATTGGAGGTTATTATATTGCCACAAATGCTAAAAAAATCATCATTTACAATAACTATATATAATCTTATACATAGTTTTTTTTTTAAATAATGACTCTTTTTCCAAGGAGATCTTGAATTTCTGACTTTTCCATGTCTAACATATTTCTTATGTATACAACCAATTAGTGTCTGCAATAATTAGTCCATCCATCATTTAAACTACATATCCAGGGATACTGGGATGACTCAAATAAATGTCTGAATTTTGATCTCAGCTCAGGTCTTGATCTCAGAGTGGTAATTTCAAGCCACATATTGGGCTCCATACTGGTGTGGAGCCTACTTAAAAAAAATAAACAAATAAACAAATAAAAATAAACAAATAAAAAAATAAAATGCACACCCATCATTATGGTTGTGTGCAAATCAAGTTTTGCTATGTTAGTACCATTAATACAAAATAATAAGAGCTAATCCTTACATAATTCTTACTATGTGCCAGGTACGGTTCTAAACCCTTTACAAGTATCATCTCATTTTGCCCTCACCTGTGAGATAGGTGCTTTTACTATCTTCATTTTACTAAGGAAACTGAGGAAGAGACAAAGTAAGAAATTAAGTAAGTAAATAACAGAGCTTACATTTGACCCCAGATTGTGTGGCTCCATAATCCACAGAATTTCAGTAACTTGTAGTTTCCAAAAGATTTTCATTTGATGCCAAGAATTCAATTTGAATTCAAAACTCATGTATGTGAACTGCTAGAATTAAGTTCAACATCTTGAAAACAAGCCTGTTCAGAGACCACTGTGTTGTTGTATTTAGTTCCTCCTGGCAGTAGCCCTTTTGTATTTAGCAACAATGCTAATCACCCAGATCACTTATTGTCTTAAAGTGGTGATTTTTAAAAATGAGTACAAAAAAAGAAAATGGATACTTTCTCCAATAAATATAAATAAAACAGTCATTAACCTTTTAGAGCTAGAGGGTATCTAATACATACACCCAAACACAAAACACATTTAATCCACTAAACATGAGGTAGGAGGATTTATTATCATTCTCATTTTCCTGATGAAGAATCTGACACTCAGATTAAATTACCCAATGTTCTATAGCTTATAATGTAGCAAAGATAACATTCAAACCCGATTCTGTCTTCAGAGCCCAACACTTAGCAATTCTATCAAACTTCCCTCCATCTAGTCTACTGAAATAACACAGCTTGATTTAGAAAAAAAGCAATTTGAGCAAATATTTCTCCACTTCAACTATGCAAGGCAACACAATGCAGTGTGTTCACTTACATTCACAAATGCACCTGCCAATATGTTCAAAAGAAGTGCCTACTGGATTGTAGTACTTTAAAGACCTTTAGGGGAGAGGAGTTAGAAGAGTAAGACATTTCTTTTAAATAATACTATTTCCCTTACTCATTAAGATAATTAAAATTCTAGATTGTTTTGTCCTGAATCGGACATTTCCTGCAAGAAATAAGTATAGGTCTCCAAATACATTATTTCAAATAAACTTGAATAAATAAACTTAAGTGCTCATCGTTCATCAGACTCTTGCATTAGAGAACAGTGCAACAATTTACCACTGACAAACCAGCATTCCAGACCTTCCTGGGAGTCGTGTGATTCAGGGAAGGTTTGAGAAGCCTAATGTCAACCAACTTGCTAGAAAAATCTTAATTCACTTGTTGAACTTAGACCAACTAATGTGTTTATCCTAAACTACTGGAAAATTCCAAGTGGCACAATTATCCTTAGCAACCTGTAGCAATTTAAAAAATATTTTTTAGTATCATCTATCCCTTCTTTTTCCACAATGATATTCAAGCAATATATGACTCTGTAAGGAGCAAAGATAAGTATTACTGCTATGGACAGTTAATGAATTTGATCCATTCACTCAGCTGATCATATAGTAACAATTCAAAGTGAGATTTTTAAAATTTTTATTTAAATTCAATTTGCCAACATATAGTGTAACACTCGGTGCTCATCTCTCATCATGTGCCCTCCTTAATGCCCATCACCCAGTTACCCCATCCCCCTACCCACCTCCCCTTCTGCAACCCTTTGTTTCCCAGAGTTAGGAATCTCTCATGGTTTGTGTTCCTCTCTAATTTTTCACCACTCATTTCCCCCCCTCCCTTATAGTTCTTTTCACTATTTCTTATATTCCACATATGAGTGAAACGATATTATAATTATCTTTCTCCAGTGGATTCCAGTTCCATCCATATCAATGTAAATGGTATTCATTCAAAGTGAGATTTTTAACACAGACAAGAGCTATGTTTGATCACTGGGCTAGAATAACAATGCAAGATCACAGTGAACTGCAGCTAAAGGTGGCAATGCCTATCCTACTAGTAGTAATCCATTAAACAGCGGTAAAAAGTGCAAGTTCTAAAGGAAGCAAGCGCCTTTCGGCCGGAACCGCCATCTTCCAGTAATTCGCCAAAATGACCAACACAAAGGGAAAGAGGAGAGGTACACGCTACATGTTCTCTAGGCCTTTTAGAAAACATGGAGTTGTTCCTTTGGCCACATACATGCGAATCTATAAGAAAGGTGATATTGTGGACATCAAGGGAATGGGCACTGTTCAAAAAGGAATGCCCCACAAATGTTACCATGGCAAAACTGGAAGGGTCTACAATGTTACTCAGCATGCTGTTGGCATTGTTGTAAACAAACAAGTTAAGGGCAAGATTCTTGCCAAGAGAATTAATGTCCGCATTGAGCATATTAAACACTCAAAGAGCCGAGATAGCTTCCTGAAGCGTGTGAAGGAAAATGATCAGAAAAAGAAGGAAGCCAAAGAGAAAGGTACTTGGGTCCAACTGAAGCGCCAGCCTGCCCCACCCAGAGAAGCACACTTTGTGAGAACCAATGGAAAGGAGCCTGAACTGCTGGAACCCATTCCCTATGAATTCATGGCATGATAACTGTAAAGAAAATAAAAGACCTCAGGATTGTAAAAAAAATAAATAAATAAAATAAAGGAAGCAAGCCTGAAACATAGCCTTAGCTTCCCCATCTATAATGTAACAATAATTAGGTTGCTACCCAAACATTGTAAGAATTGGGGTAATATAGAGAGAGAGTACTTAGCACATAGTAAGTGCTCAATTAATTTTAGCTACTGCAGACAGATACCATTTAGGTCTCCTGTTCCACAGACCTGTTAGGGAAATTAGTGAGTTGAAAGTTAGTTTTTTAAATCCCTTCTGAGGGAGAAAATGAGGACAAGGAGTATTCCTGTATTGTTCACCACTATATCTGCAACACCTGACATAGTATCTAATAAGTACATGTTTATGGAGTATACTCTGAATCATTATACATATTCATTATAAGAATGAATCTATTAAAAGAGCTCTCTCAGTATAAGGCATGGCAAGGGGAAAGAGAGGGTTAAAGATGGAAGAGAGAAGTTAAATGAATTCTATATAGTTATTCTTCACCCTGGGAACAAGACCCAATCAGATCCTTTAGGTTAGATTCCCCAAATCACTGATTTATCCATAGTGCCAAGTGCTGTACACCGACCACAGAACTCAGTGTTAGTGTTTATGTACTCATGTGAATTCAGCTCTTTAAAAACACAACTAAATCCTCAAAAGGAGCTCCCTAACCAGCCATCCAAGATGGACCCCAGGGGGCATATTATCTATAACATTCATTTGGCACCTAAGCAAGTGGAGAAGCCACCATTTTAAGGAGTTTGTTCTTATGACATTAAATGTTTGTTGGATCTTCTCCAAAAGACAGGAATTAAATTCTGCACAACTAAATTCTGCACATATTCTGTACCTTCCAGGTTTCCAGGCATTAACTTGGCCTCTACAGGGAACATGAAGAGGCACAGTCCTTACTCTGAAGGAGCTTCCTATCTAATAAAGAGAATAAGACAGGTACAAAAATAACTTCAATGCAAGGCAGATCATAGCAAGTGTCATGGAGATATACAAGGAAAGAGATCCAAAGAGGAATCAAATAAATCTATTTTAAGCAATTAAGGCTTTATGATAGTGGGGCACACGAATGAGACCACAAAGATTTTGGATGGGCAAGGGCACTGCAGGTTGGGAAGACAGCAGGGGTAAAGACCAGTTAGGAAAACGTGGGGTGATTATATAATCTGGGACCACTTTGATATTTTACTGGTTTATGGGACTGAAAAAAAAAAGAGTATTTATAATCAAGATGACCTGTAAACTCTGAACATAGGAACAAATAAAACACAGAGGCTGTGGAGAAGAAAATGACATGGCTAAGACTGTTCATTAGATTTACCTGGCAAGCGCATGTTAGGTGGAACGGAGAGGGAAAGAGATAAAGGAGCTCTGCAGTAAAGGGTTAACCTTACTTAGAAAGTGGTCTAGGGGATCCCTGGGTGGCTCAGCGGTTTAGCGCCTGCCTTTGGCCCAGGGTGCACTCCTGGAGTCCCGGGATCGAGACCCACGTTGGGCTCCGGGCATGGAGCCTGCTTCTCCCTCTGCCTGTGTCTCTGCCTCTCTCTGTCTATCACAAATAAATAAATAAATCTTTAAAAAAAGAGAAAGCGGTCTAGCCTTTGCCCTTGCTCCTGGGAACTGGCCTTGAAACCCTTGGAACAGTCTGCCCGCTAAGTGTTTTTGTTGATATTGGGATCAACACATGCTATACAAATGATGCCATTTGTGGTGGATACTTGTGGTCATGCACTATCTGCTCCATCTCGGGAGAGACTGGAGACAATGGTAAAGCCCAGAAGCAGTCAGCAACGTCTGTGTGACCAATCAAGTTTATGACTGAGTCTCAGTGCAAACTCTGGACACCAACACTCAGTGAGTTCTCTGGCTGGCAGTGCTATGTGTGTTCTCGCACACTGCTCCTGGGAGAAGTACCTGTGGCCCCATGATGGGGCTGGGGGAGGACAGCAGAGCCCAGCCCTTGGAATTCTCCCGGGCCCTGGGCTGAGCATGTCTTCCCTCGGCTGATTTGAATCTGCATCCCATCACAGTAACAAATCACAACTGTGCCTGCAACAGCTTTCAGGGTCCTGGGAGTCTCTCAAATGGCTTATCAAACCTGAGGGTGACCTTGGGAACCCATACTTGCAGTTGTGCCTCAGAAATGAAGGTGGTCTTAAGACATCCAAATCGAAAACAACCGATATAGAAAACCCTCTGTGATAGAGCAGGGGGAATTTAGGAAAGCCTAAGAAACAGCGGTAGAATTGAAAAGGCACTGATGCTACAGCTCTACAGAGAAAAAAATAAATACAGATGTGATAACATATAAGAAACTAAAGAGAGTTAGCCTGGGAGAAAGGAATTAATTAACTTATTAAGAAATACAAATTGAGAAATGAGAAGCAAGAGCTGGTTTGAGGAGGAAAGCAGGGTACAGCAGGGGAAATGAGGAGTTTGGGTACCTCCAGCTCTCTCCTTCCCTGAGCACACATGCCAATGTCCCCATCGACCAGTGGGTCTGTTCCTTTACCCCTGGGAATCTTTCCTTGCCAACAGAGCACAGCATAAACGATGCTGTGCACAGGGTGATTCTGGCCCTTAAGAGGACCCCTCAGGGCCATGAGAGGTAAAAACACAGTTTCATTCAGCCAGTAGGCTTTGGGGTGGTTAGTTATGACATAATAAGATAACTGAATTTAAGACAGTAAATAGAGCATAACTAAATCATTTTCTCTAGCTAATTTCTTTATTTAGAAAGTATACGATTCTCCAAGACAATGGAGGTCAAAAGTAAGACGTCTAACTAATTACAATCTTTAAATGACCCAGAGAGTTTGAGAACATTTTGCTACGTGGCTACAGATTGTCAAAATCAGTTCTTTTCCCTAGTACCTAATTGACTTGGAAGGAGGCACGAAGGAACATGCTCAACGAGGTCTGATAATACCTGGCTCATCCTCCCCCTCACCTCCTAGCTCCATTTTTCCAGTTTATTAATATCTTCAGTCTAATCCTGGTTGATAAATTGCTGGCAAGCTTGCTCAGGTCCGTGTTATCTGCAATCACACTAGAAGGCAATGCAAACGTGCAAAGATTAAACTTTTTCCTAATCTTCATCTCTCTATATTAAAATAATTGAAGGATAATAAAAAAAATAAAATAAAATAATTGAAGGAGCACCTGAGTGGCTCAGTGGTTGAGCATCTGCCTTTGGCTCAGGTCATCCTGGAAGCCTGGAATCAAGTCCCACATCGGGCTCACGATGTAAGAAGCCTGCTTCTCCCTCTGCCTCCATCTCTGTCTCTGTGTGTTTGACTCTCATGAATGAATAAATAAATTATAAATAAATAAATAAATAAATAAATAAATAAATAAATAAATAAATATTGGAAAGAATCCGGGGTTCTTGTCAAATTACAGCATTTTTGTTCTGAACACTGAGATAAAGTACTGGCTAAAATAATACCTGAGGCATACATAAATATTTTTAAATGCTCAAGGAAAAATATAATCCACAAGAAAACAGGCTGGGTGGCTCTGACCTGGCACTTCACTCCCAGGTGCTCCCGGAAGAGAGCGCCCAAAGGTTTAACCACTAACATTTCAGTCAGTGTTAAAAATTTTTGAGTGTTAAAAGTTCTTAAATAAAAGCCATGTTTTCACACTTTAAAATAAGCAAAAAAGTAAGCAGTACCATTCAAATCTTATTATGGCTATCAAATTTTATATGATATTTGGTATCATACAAACATGAAAACAGGGGTTCTGAACACAAATGGTTAATCTTATAGACCATGGACCCCTTTGGCAAAATGGTGAAGCCTCTAAAGCCCTTTTCAAAATAGTACTTGTAAAGCATAAAATAAAACAGAATTGCAAAAAAAACCCAAACCCAGCAAATCAGTTATCAAAAAGACTTTTAATAATTTTTTTTACTGAGCTTATTCAATACTGAACCTGATGCGGAGGTACAACAGCAATCAGGATACACATAGAACTTCTCCTGATAGAACTTATGTTATTCTTAGTAACACCTCTTTTTTAAAAATCAAATATAATTAGCATACAATGTTGTACCAGTTTCAGGTACGCAATGACCCAACAAGTCTATGTATTACTCAGTGCACATCACGATAAGTATACTCTTAATTCTGTTCATCTATTTCACTCATCCCCCACCCACTTTTTATTTGATAAAAATATCAAAATATTTTAAAACAATTTTATGATAAAATTAGTGTTTTTATTAATGCATTAAATTGTATGATCTAGTAGCTGATCTAATAACTAATTTTGAAGTAGATAAGAGTATAAATGGTATTTCAAGATATCTCAACAACTGTAATATAATATAAAAATATTCATAATTACTATTGATAACAGAATCACAGGTATTAGTAGCACTACTGTGATTTCTGACCTAAATTCATAATTAAATGAAAAGCTAAATTTTGGCCTAGAGATTACTGAAATGAAGTATTTTTTTCTATCCAAGTTCAAGGGCCTTATAAATTCTACTCCCAGCCATTTAGTTATAATCCCCTACCTTCAATAAAGCATTGGGCATGCCTCTTGTTAGTTATACTGAATTCACAGAACTTCCGAAACACTGAGTCTTGGTGCCAGGGAGAGGCTGGGACCCAGACAGAATTTCTTTCTTTCTTTCTTCCTTTCTTCCTTTCTTCCTTTCTTCCTTTCTTCCTTCCTTTCTTCCTTTCTTTCTTTCTTTCTTTCTTTCTTTCTTTCTTTCTTTCTTTCTTTATATTATTTGTTGGAGTTCGATTTGCCAACATATAGCATAACACCCAGTGCTCATCCCTCAAGTGTCCCTCTCAGTGCCCATCACCCAGTCACCCCAACCCCCCGCCCGCCTCCCTTTCCACCACCCCTTGTTCATTTCCCAGAGTTAGCAGCCAGACAGAATTTCAAAAGAGGAGCCACGGGTTCTAAAAGACAGCAGGAACAGAATTGCATGGTAGAAGTGGGCCTGGTTAAAGGTACAGAGGTTTGGGGGTCATGCA